ACAAATGATTACTATAAATATATATATAAACTAAAAAATAAACAAAAACTAAACTTTAAGTATGATTTTGAAAAAAATAAAAGTTTAAGTACTAAAACGGATCAAAACTGATAGTTTAAATACGAAATTTATAGTTTATCTTAAAATTGAGGCCCATGGCCCCATCTAGCCCTTTAGTAGTTCTGCTTCTGATTTCCTTGGTTGTGTTTGTTTGGCCCAAAATTAAAAATTTATGTATTAAAACGGATCAAAATAAATTTCGTTTTGTTGATAAAGAATTAAATTGAAAAAAAATACTTGTTAAAATATCCTAAAATGTTTTTAAGATAGTAAAAATCGAGGAGATTTGAATATTCTCTGACTAATTTTCTCATATAATAGTAATTAAGATAAATTATGTATGTAATCACCCATCTATTATTTTACTTCCATTTTGGTCACTCAACTATTTTTATTTTAAAATCATACCTAATGTTTGTAAAAATCTCCAAAATATTTGTTAGCACCTTAATATCTCTTAAGCAAGTTTCGAGTTCGTGGCCTCCTATATGTAGAAAATTCTCGTTGGGAGACTCACCCACCAAAGCCTGGTGTACAACACGGGTCGGTTCGAATTAATCAGGACAAAGTCCTAAAAACCATGAGGGTAACTAAAAAAGTCATACCTAATGTTACATTTTAACTATATATGATTTTGAGAAAAAAGTTAAAAGACTAAAACATAACCAAAATGATAGTTGGATGACTAAATACGTAGTTACCCTAATAATTAATGTAAGATTGAAGCAATCTTCCCTGTAGAAAAAGAAACCAAATCAAAGAGATTTTTAAATGTTCTTCGAGTATTCCTGTCTCATAACTTGTCCTCTCATCTACTTATAAATTCTAAAGAATTTGCATGTTATTTTCTGAATTGAGCACCGTATTTAACTAAAAAGAAAGAAAATGTATGAAAAGTTTGAAGGTGTATGCCATTTTCATGTTGATTCTTCTTTTGTAGCAGGTAAAAAAGTAGGTGTAGGACGAAATTCTTGTTGTACGATATAATTTTATTTGATTAAAATATTATATTCTCCTTAAAAACATTTAGGATGCGTTTGGTTCACAGAATGTAAGATTACTGGTGGAAATAGAATTACAGGCGAGAATAAGATTACTGAAAATATTGTATTTTGTGTTTGGTTCGTTTAGCAGGAATGTAAGATTACAGTGTTTAGTTAAATGAATAAAAGATTATTTGAATGTATATTTTACCAAATTGTCCTTGTTATATATTTGTTTTTTTAACAAGTTGAATTATATTATAATTTTACTATAATTAATTTATATATATTTTTTTAAAAAATTAAAATCATAAAATTTATATATATATATATATATATATATATATATATATATATATTACAAATTGAAAAGATAAATACGTTTAATGAATTGATAAAATTTATTTTAACCCCTGAACTTCATATAAATTTTTAATTATGGATTTTTTTTTAAAGTTTAAGGATAAATTTGTAATTACCCTTCTTAGAATTTTTTTATTATAGTAATGATATTATTTTAGTCAAAAACGTCGAGAATGTAACAATACCTAAGAGAAAGGGTAATCACATTCTCGGTAATATACCCAAAAATACCACTACTGGGAATAACTTATTATCAGAAGTTGAGAATGTTTACCAATCAAATGGAAGAATGGCATTCTATTCCCCCGGTAATGTGAGATACACTGAACTAAACTCCCCTTATGCTCCCGTCTTACTTTAGCATTAGAATCTAATGTAATGGCTTTAGCCTTCATTGTTATCTTAATAGAAGGAATAATCAATAATGATTTTATGTCTGAATGTACTTTAAATTATGAATAGAAAATATAAAAATATAATTAAATTATATATAATTTTAAAAATTTTAAGAAAATGATTATCTTCACCGTCCGTTGATCTATCTTCATGAATATTATATATTAAATAAATGTTTAAATATTAATGCATATAGGAAAAGAAGCAACAGGAGAGGTAACATGCCTATCCTATCAATTTTTGGTGGCTGCAAAAACTTATATTGCTTGATAAGGTGCAAAAATTCGTATGGAATTGAAGCTGTAGGACATTGTATTGGGCTTGCCACCTCCTGTCCATGTACTTGTCCTTTTTATTTTTTTTAAATGGTCTATGATTTGACCAAATTTCGCTAATAATAAAGTGAATATCCTATTAAATTCTCGGATTAATCTATTATTAATTTTTTTAAAAATTTTAAATCTAATCCTGATTTTACTTATATGAAAGGAGAAAAATGAAGAGAAGTTCTCTTAATGAATTTAAAATTCATGTTCTAAGAAAATACGTGAGAACAAAGATAAGTAATTTGATGAATCGATCAAATGTGTTTATTCTATTAAAGTTAAACTTTGTAAAATGTGAATTCATCAGACAACCTCGGTGGTTAAAAGGAAATTTATTCTCTCTTGAGGTCCTGAGTTCGAGCAATTGCATTTGCATGGTGTGTGCGCATTATCAATAAATAAAAAAGATTTTGAACATATATACTACTCTTATAATCACTCCAGACTATTAAATTCCTTTTATTGAGGTCTTGAGTTCGAGCAATTGCATTTGCATGGTGTGTGCGCGTTATCAATAAATAAGAAAGATTTTGAACATATATATTACTCTTATAATCACTCTAGACTATTAAATTCATTTTATTCAATAATTAAAATAGTACATATATATATTTTAAATCATAAAGTAAACAAATTCCTAATAATATAATTTATGATGGGGTATTTATAACTTTTTTAATTTTTTTAATTTTTTTCAACAATTAGTTTTAGTGTCCAAATAGTTTCGATACTAAAAAATATTTTAGAATTTCAGCATCAAAACTCAACCTACTAATTTCGAAACTATCTTACCTATAAAACGCATGCAAATTACTTCTTAAAACACTTTTTACCCATACAACACATGCAGACATACATACTTTAAGAACATGCTTCAACCATATAGAATATGACAAGTATATCTACAACACTTGCACAAATAATTTCTCAAAACATTTATACTCCAATACAATATCACATACTTATATCACTAATTCTTATATACATTCTATTAATACAAATAAGAAAAATAAGATAATACTCGTATTAAAATATTGGCAAAAGGATCACCTTACCCCTGTAGTAGATCCATTTTATCATTTTAGCCCCTATCATATTTTCACATCAATTTAGCCCTTGAAGTTATTCAATTGTATCATTCTATATCCAACTATTGAGAGTTTTAAGCATAGTTTAATATTTAGGGTTTATGATTTAGGAGTTATGAGGTCATGATTTAGGGTTTAGGGTAGGGTTTTTTAGAATTTAAGATTTAGGGCTTAAGATTTAGAGGTTATGGGAATATGGTTTAGGGTAGGAATTTAAGTCAGGGGTAGGTATAGAATGATGTAATTAAACAACTTTGAGGGCTAAATTGATGTGAAAATACAATAGAGATGAAAATGATAAATTAAATCTATTATAGGGACACTTGTTGTAGCTCCCGAATAATTTTTTGTATTTAACTTTTATTGAGCATCGTTGGAGAAAACATTGGACATATTAAAATGTAAAATATTAGGCACATAACTGCATATAATTAGGCATGTATAGTGTTATACATTCGAAAATCATTCTTGGAGTTCGATTTTCCTATGCTCCTCTGATCTTTCATTCTCACTTACCAGAACATCGAATGAATTCATATTCTCTGGATAAAAGCTTTCAAATCAACCTAAATATATGAACAAAACTTTTAGATTAAACATCTGTCAGACTCACGTGACCTAACAAGACAAACAGACTTGACTAATTTGTCAGCCTATGAATAGTTATTACTACCTTATATTTGACACTGTCAGCTAAGATTATAATAAATACTTTCATGCTACAGTTAAAAATAGGGACCTCTCTCCAAGTTATCACAAAGAAAGGGATGTCTTCTTCTTTTTCTCTGTGTCACCCTCATTCTAACATAGAAAAACACCGATAAACGATAAATTCTCTATTAACTACGATTTTCCATCTAAATTAAAGGAATAATTCACTAACTGTCGGCGAAACTAAATTTATTTTCATTGACGTATAATATAATATCATTAATATCGAGAGAATTTTAATTATATGACATACCAATTATAACATACATAACTATTATAAATGCACCAAACATTAATTTCTTCCTTGTTTCTCCTCCTCAAAACATCAAACGTAAATCAACTTATTCATTAAGTTATGGTTTTCACGCAGGAAAGAAAGAAGAAGCCTTTACTTAGCATCAACTTTCTAATAGATTGTAAATCTTTGATTGAATAATTCTACTTTAACTATTAACTTATAAGTGATTTTAATTTTTTAATGATATAATTTGATTAAATTAAAAATTTATATTCTATTAAAAATTAAAATTAAAATAATATAAAGTACTAGTTTAAAACAAAAATTGACTATATTTTTGAATTTTGATTTTTACATAAATAAAAAACCAGTATAAAACAAGCATTTTACCCTAATTAATGTAAAGTTGGAAACAATCTTATTAATTTGGATGAAAGCGATCAACTTATTATTATTTAAAAAAATCAGATAATTATTTTATAATTTTTTTAATAATACGATGGTTCAATATAAATAATCGGGTGAGTATTTTAAAATATTTATTAATATTTTAAATATGTTTTTAAAATTATTTTCAATATTGATAATGCATTAAATAATTATTTTTTAACAGTAAGATTATCCTGATAAAATTTAAATTTGTTGTATGTACAACAACAATTTTAAGTCGAATACAAAAAAGGCAAATCAACACTAGAATTAGGCTAAACGACGGCGTTTTAATGATGTAAGCTTCATATAGGGTTCACTCTTGTGTATATTTTTTAATTGGAGCCCAAAGGTTTAATTTTGGCGCGTTGATTTAATAGGGTTGTATATATTTTTGCCGGCAAAAAAATTGCAATTCAGCCATTGAAGAAAAAAGAAGGATTTTTGAATCCCAAAATTTCTCGGATCTAAAGCGCCTCTGAGATAGGTTAGAATTCTGCACTTATTTGCCTAATTTTGTAGTACGATTTCAATATTTTTCATTAAATTCCGTTTTTGTCCTTTCTTTTAAATCCCTTAACTTCTGTGCTTGCTTGATTTTGTGTACTGTGATGAAGTTCGCGTCACTATATTGAATGCGTTACGAATTTGTTTATTTCTTTTTTAAAAAAGTTCTATTGTTTGTCTCTCTAAATTACTTTTGCCTGCACTGGTGAAAGATTTGGGTTTCTAGGTTACAACTAATGTTAAGTGTGTTAGAAACTTTAGAAAATGGGAAAAAAGAAAGAAAGATATAGAACTCGGCTGAACCAACTAGCTTTTGCTTTATTTGTATATTTGAAGTATGTTTGACCCTAAGATGGATTTTGTTTGCTCTTTGGTTGACAGTCCTTATGACATGGGTGGAAACGAAGTGTCCTCTGATCAAGTTATTGAAAAACTTATTGAAATGGGGTTTGAAAATTCTGATGCTGTAGAAGCTGTAAAAGCCGTAGGACCATCAGTTGATGCTGCGGTTGAGTATGTTTTGAATGGTTGTGGTAGGGATACTCTTGGTTTGTCCACTAGTTCTCAATGTTCTCCAAGCGATTTAAAGAGTTCGGGTAAGAGAGTTATGACCTCTTCCCAATGTAAAAGTCAAGTGCGACAATCCACGATATGGGATCATTTTCAATCCACAAGCAAAAGTAAGCGAAGCAGAGGTAATGATACAACTGATGGGGTTGTGTCCAGAACCCAGGGGCTGCCTAGTCTTGAGGAAGAACAAAAGGGACCATTCCTCCTTATAAATAATCAATTAGAAAATGTGGCAGAACCATTCCAAGTTAGCTGTTCCGAGGAGCTGGATGTTGGATCAAATTGGGAACCAAAGGTTAACTGTTTATTAAGAAAGCATTTTGGTTATTCATCTTTGAAGAGTTTCCAGATGGAAGCCTTGGCTGCATGGCTTGCTCACCAAGACTGTCTTGTTCTTGCTGCAACAGGAGCTGGTTAATCTTTATTCTCTTGTGTTTTCTTGTTATTTTTCCCGTTCACTTTGTTATTTCATAACTTGGAGAGTACTAATAGTTTTGCCTTCTGCAGGGAAGTCTCTCTGTTTCCAGATTCCGGCATTATTAACAGGAAAAGTTGTAGTTGTGGTTTCTCCTTTGATAAGCTTAATGCATGATCAATGCTTAAAATTATCAAAACATGGGGTCTCTGCTTGTTTTCTTGGATCTGGACAACCAGACAGCAGTGTGGAGAAGAAAGCGATGAGAGGAATGTATAGTATTATATATGTTTGTCCAGAAACAATTCTGAGGTAGGTGCATACATTGCATCTTGTATGTCTCTGAACATTTTAATTCTTTATCTTGTTTGTAATTGAGAACTACTAGTACTTTTGTGCAGACTAATAAAACCTCTTCAAAGGCTAGCAGAAAACCGCGGAATCACATTGTTTGCAATTGATGAAGTCCATTGTATATCTAAGTGGGGCCATGATTTTCGGCCTGACTATGGGTATGTATTCCTTTGTATTATTTATTTGGTGCTTTCTCATTTTTAATGTCTCATATCTTTTTATAATTTGTAATTTCATTTAATCACTTCTTTTTAAGTTGTATGTATATGTTCCACTGTCAGGCGATTGTCTACTTTGCGAGAGAATTTCAGTGCTAGAAGTTTGAAATTCTTGAAGTATAACATCCCAATTATGGCACTGACTGCAACTGCAACAGTTCGGGTTCGACAAGACATTCTTGATTCTTTGTGCATGTCAAAGGAGACAAAGTTTGTGGTCACCTCATTCTTCCGTCCAAATTTACGATTCTCAGTGAGTGTTCACTTGTTTGGACGTGTGTTAATCACATTTGGTTTTTCTCTTCTGCTTTCTCCATCCTTTTTTCAAACTTACACTTATATTATTATATTTTGTTCAATTTTTTTTCTAATTCACATACTGAACTTCTCTACTAGTATCTCTTATCATGAAATCCTGTGTTTTGGTGGAACCTTAAAAAAATATTTCTGCTTTTTACAGGTGAAACACAGTAGAACATCGGCGTCTTCATATAGGACGGATTTCTGTCAACTAATAGATGTTTATGCTAGAAAGAAAAAGATTGATGGAATGAAACAACCTCCAACCTCTCATGAATTTCATTGTCAATCTGATTTAGATAATTTTTCTGCAAGTGATTTTAATGACATCGAAGAAAGTGATGATGAGAATTCAGAAAAGGAAAATGGTCCAATTTCTTCGAGGGATAGGCAAATGTCAGCGGAGTACTTAGAAAATGATGTCGATATCTTTCAGAGTGTGGAAGATTGGGACGGTATAATCTTATGAGACTTTAATTTTATCTTCTATGTATGCTATTATTTGGCTTATGCTATAGACATGAAAAGATTCCAGCTTCACAGCATTTCAGCTATATATTAATTGCTTTTATTTTTCAGTTGCCTATGGTGAATTTGGAGGACAAGTTCTTTGTGAAGAATGGAATTCACATGGGCCATCTGAGACAATTGATCCACCAAATAAACTAGAAGAAAGACGGAGTCTTCTGCAAGAGCCTTTGGAACAAGGGCCGACCATCATTTATGTTCCCACAAGAAAAGAAACACTGAGCATTGCAAAGTATCTTTGCAAATTTGGAGTAAAGGCTGCTGCTTTCAATGCAGCGGTAAATATTTATGGAAAATTTACTCTGTTTCTGCATTGATGCATATCATATCATTGCAATCGTTAAGCACTAGTTCTTTGAACTTTCAAGTAGTTTTTTGACAATGTCTTTTTTTCATCTTCATTCTTAGCAAATCACACATCAATTTCTTGCAATCATAAAGCTCTAATTGTCATGTGCTTTTGGACTGTGTGCCTGTTTGGTTCTTGTTTACTTGTTAGTATGGCATTGCTTCTCTGTCATAGATACTGTTTTCCATGTTTCTTTTTTTTACTCACTGTTCTTGCTAAGGAATCATCCTGATGTACATTCTAATAAAACTGTCTTGGAATATTTTTCTGGTTATTTGTCTGGTATTTTCACCGGTAAAATCTTGCATGCTAAGTTCTACACACTCATGATAAAGAGTTTTAATGTCTCTGATAAGCTGCTATTTATAAGTTTACCCCCTCGTTTCTTCTCAGTTGCCAAAATCACATTTAAGGCAGGTTCACAAGGAATTTCATGAATACTCCCTACAGGTAAGGTTTGTCATGTTTGACCTAGATAATTAATTGGATCTGTGTAATTCTTCTATATTTTTGTTTTATTCGGTATCTAAAATTTTCCAGAAATGCATTGCTTTTCCCAAGATTAGATTTCTTTAAAAAATTCAGTCAGTTACTTTTTTGGTTCTCAAAAGTCGAAACCACTTATTTCCTATAGGTTGCAGCCTAGATGTGATTGCATATCCAATTATAAGCTTCCTCTCTCTGTATGAAATGGTGGTTACGTAGCTAATGATGAATCCACTTTCGTTTGTTCTGCAGTATTCTTCTCTGTTTAGACCCTTTACATCCTTTTCATTTTATTTCTTGTTTTTTTTATTGGGATCAAATGGAACTGTGTAGATGAACTACTGTTTGTGATCTTATCCAACCATCTAACAGGCAAGGTTTCTATGCAGGTTGTTGTTGCGACAATGGCTTTTGGAATGGGGATTGACAAGTTAAATGTTCGAAGAATCATACATTATGGTTGGCCACAGGTTCATCTTCTGGCTTTGATGTATTTGTTCATTTTCTGTTGTAACTTTTATGCCTATTATTTTACAGGTTTATGTCATAATTGATGGGATATAGTTCTCTCTTTCTGGTCACTTGAGTTGAGCATTAAAGCTTGATTCTGCTTGCAGAGTTTGGAAGCATATTATCAAGAAGCTGGTCGAGCCGGAAGGGACGGAAAATTAGCAGATTGCAGTAAGCCTGTTTTCTAATTTAGAATATATGTCGCAGTCATTGTCGAAGGAAAAACATATGTACTGTTTTTTCTAATTGAGAACTAATACATTTTACCCTTAACAGTATTATCTGAAGCTTGTTTTTTAACAGCTTCTTTACCCTCTATTTTTGGGTACATTCTTAATGTGAAATTGACCTGTACTCTTTCTTCTAGCAGTTTATATGCAAACTTATCAAGAGTTCCAACACTTCTGCCTAGTAAAAGAAGCGAAGAACAGTCAAGACGGGCATATAAAATGTTATCTGAAATTTTCAGGTTTGCACAAAATATGTTCTTGTTTTGCTCTCTTTCTTCTTCGATGTTTAATCACAACTTTTTATTCTCTTGCAGATATGGAATGAATACTTCTTGCTGTCGAGCCAAAATACTTGTCGAGTACTTTGGGGAGGATTTCGGTGATGAGAAGTGCATCTTGTATGTAAGCTTATTTTAAGGTTTTGTATGGTACTATATGCAATGTTATTTTGGGATTTTCGTATGGATACTTATTATATATTTGAAAGGGAAATCAATCTAGAACTGTAAAAAAAAGTTTATAAATGTTTGTGTATGTGTGCATATATACATATATATATAGAGAGAGGGATAGGATCATGTTACACAATGTAATTTTTTTAATTTTACACAGATTTAGGACTGTTGAATGAGTGAAAATAGATGATTGAGATTAACAGTAGGAGATGAGAAGATATTCACTAAAAAAAAACCTAGGAGTCAATCTCAACCATTTATTTTCATTCATCTAACGAGAGTAAATCTGTGTAAAACTAAATAGTTTTACACTGATGTAGGATCAATGGATGAATATAATGGATGGCTGAGATACCCAATGATTCTCACCTATTTACACACACACATCATAATCTTTTAAATTTCAAGCAAATAGAGCCTTTTTGTGCCAAACGATAAGGTTATTCACAGACCTATATATATATATATATATAATTCTTTAGTTTTACATTGATGTAGGATCAATGGATGAATATAATGGATGGCTGAGATACCCAATGATTCTCAGCTATATATATACACACACACACACACACACACACACACAAACATCATAATCTTTTAAATTTCGAGCAAATAGAGCCTCTTTGTGCCAGATGATAAGGTTATTCACTCCAATGATGTTTGTGAGTTTTTTTATTGTTTCTCCCCCCTTGACAAAAATAAGATCTAACTGAAATTTAGTTTCATTCTGCCCCTCCCCCCCAAAATTCTAACTATTTAGTGAAATTCCTTTTCCTCAGGTGTGACGTTTGTGTTGATGGACCTCCTAAAATGCAGGATTTGAAAGAGGAGGCAAATATTTTATGCAAATTATTGTGGCTCGTTATGTAAGTGTGATTTTTTTAGTCTAATTTCTTACATTGCATTAGATACACCGGGGATCAATTGGATTTAGTTTCTGAAATATTCTATTCATGATATTCATATCAATATTGCAGGCAGAGAGCAGTTTCATGGACGGTTCATATGATGATTCTGTGTGTGGTGATATTGAACGGAAAAAATTCGTAGCAAAGCCAAACCTCAGAACTTTTGTTGGTAAAATAAGGGAGCAGGTGATCAATCTCTGTTCCATGAATCTACCTGGTTTAACATGTGGTATATATGTTACTGGAGTTCTCACATGCTATCTGATGATTGCCGTATGATGGCCATCTGCAGTCTCAAAAATTTGTAACGACGGATCTGCTATGGTGGAAAGGCCTTGCTCGAATCATGGAAGCTAAAGGATTTATCAGAGAGGGAGATGATAAGGTATACGCTTAACAACCAGCCTTCCTTGATTTTGTCCATGAACAAAATATTAGGTCCTCTTTCGTTGTTTCTTTTGCTGGTTGTTCATTTCTTTTCTTAGATTCCATAAGGCATGCATTTCTAAACACGACATGACCCGACCCGACCCGACCGTGCATTCCAATGGATTTTAAGATACGAATATATCACCTGAACACTCCAGTTTATTGTTTAACTGTGCTGTCTTGTGCAGACCCATGTTCAGATCAAATTTCCAGAATCAACAAAAAGGGGACTGGAGTTTCTCCAGTCTGAAAGTGATGAAGCTTTCTGTATTTACCCAGAAGCAGATATGCTTCTTTCAATGAGAAAGCCAAGAGCTTATTCGAGTTTCTCTGATTGGGGAAAGGGCTGGGCTGATCCTGAGATCCGTCGTCAACGTTTGGAGAAAATCCGGTCATCAAACAGGAAACCCCAAAAGCCAAGAAAAAGAAAATCAAAAAAACATTTCTCGGATACTAGTACTTCTCGGGGTAGGATATCCGCAAAAATATCGAAACAGAAATGGTGAGTTTGAACATTTATTCTTCCCACATGATAGAGTGGAGAAAGCTTAGAAGATTAAACCATTTCATGAAGCAAACAGTGGAGCAAGAGTAACAAGAAAGCAACCAAGAACTTGTTAATGTAGAAGCAAGACATCTCCTTTTCTCTACATAAACAAGACTTCATTTCTCATTCTCCAAATAAACAGAAGCGTCTCTATGGACTACGTTCGAATAATTTTCGCAATTATCGGCTTTTTCACTTCGTTCATTTTCATTCTCCCCGGTTTGAAGAAATGGCAAAGGCAACATATTTTGATAGAAAGCTAAGGATCATTAGCCAGGCATTGGAACATGCTGAAGAAAGAGCTATGAGGTTTCAAGAATGGCATGATCATATACTTGGCCAAATATGTTCTTATTATATGGTTAATCGAGACCTCGAGGACTCCTAGGCCGGTGCTCGAACTGCCATGATTGAGGCTTTGGAGTTTGCTGTTGGATTGAGGAAGATGCAATTGCAGATTCTGAGGCCCATTGATGAGATCGATGCTTTTCATGTTGGATAGATTAAAATGTATGAATAGAGGCTAGGGGGATTGAGAACTAATCATGGAGAATTAAAGTAATCTTCTTTTTCCATTTCAATTCTCTTAAATGATGATTTTGAATTATTGTATATAATAATAATTTCATCTACTATATTGAAACATTTAAAAAGTATTAGTTAATTGTATCACACGTCCTCAAAATATAGTTCTCATTCTAAATTGCTCCATAAACTTTTGAGTGTTTTAATTTCACACTCAAGCTATGACTCATTCTATATTAGTCATTAAACTTTTGAACACTCAAATTTTATCACAAAACTATAACTCTCACTCTAAATTGGTTCTTAAACTTTTGAACATATTAATTTCATCCCAATCATTGATATATGCTAATTATATCTGTTAGGTCAAGTTATATTATTATATGTTTGAAAAAATATAGGTTAAATTATGGTTAAAATAATATTATATATTAGAATGAATTTTGTGATACAATTGAAAATTTTAAAAGTTTAAAATCAATTTAGAATGAGGTCATAATTTAGGATGAAATTAGAGTGTTCAAAAGTTTTAAGATTACTTAGAATAAGAATTAAAATTTAAATATAAAATAAAAATATATAAAAATATTAAAGATTAATTCAAATGAAAATCATATTTTAAAAACATGATATGTAATTAACTCTGTAATATATATATATAGTTTAAGAATGAAATTGTTGATGAAGAATGAAAATAAATTATTTATTATTTGGAATAGAGATAGGGATGGCAACTCAACCCGAATCCGACGGGTTCCGACCCGATCCGACCTGATCGGGTCGGATTTTTTAAAAAAAAATTCGGGTTCGGGTCGGGTCGGATTTTTTTTTAAATGTACTGTTCGGGTCGGGTCGGGTTTAGGGTGAAAAAAATCCGACCCGACCCGACCCGAAAAATATATATAATTTTATCCTATATATTTAGGGATAATTACAATAATGTCCCTCCATATATAATTTTTTTCAATTAAGTCACTGTTTTCATTGAATAAAATTTTTTTTATTATTATTTCGGGTCGGGTCGGGTTTCTAAGTCATATATTCGGGTCGGGTCGGGTCGGGTGAAACCTTAATTTTGTCGGGTCGGGTCACGGGTGAAAAACCCTTTCTTCTCGGGTCGGGTGGCCCAAAAACCCGACCCGACCCGACCCGACCCATTGCCATCCCTAAATAGAGAAGAGTACCCAATACTCTTTGTTTGGAATTGAGAATTAAAATATTAGGAAATAGACAATTAGACCTCTACTTATTCCAACTAGAAAACCGCGCTCTCAACATTTCAAAACCAAATGTTTAAAGCAAGTCAACCTGTTTTCAAGGCGTGATGGAGACGACGTCAAAGCCAGCTGGAAGCCGGAAAAAGGCGGTTTCTAAGTCGGCAAAGGCCGGACTCCGCTTCCCGGTGGGTCGGATTGCCCGCTATCTCAAGAAAGGACGTTATACACGGCGTTGCGGCGCCGGCGCTCCCGTCTATCTCGCCGCCGTCCTCGAGTACATTGCTGCTGAGGTATCTTAATCTTTTTCTTCTCCATTTTCTCTCGATCAAATTTCACAATTGTTTTTTGGTTAGATAAAATTGAATTTTCAGCGATAGATTTTCACGATAGTTTAATGTTTTTTTTTCTGGGTAGGTGTTGGAATTGGCGGGGAATGTGGCACGTGACAGCATGAAGAAAAGGATCAATCCACGGCACGTGTATATAGCTCTGAGAAACGACAAGGAGTTGGGGAAGGTTCTGAAAGGAACCATTCCTAGTAGTGGATTCCTTCCCACCATTTACGCCCTCGTTTCTTCCAAGAAATCATCCTCCTTCTTATTTCTTTTTCTGATCTTTCCTTGCAGCTATATTTCCGGTTGTCTTAAATTTACGGCGATTGTGATAGTTATTATGATCAATACAAATATCATTATATAACAGTCTTATTTTAATAACGAATTATTATTTAAATTCTTGATTGTTATGGTCATTCAAGGAAATTGTTTGATCAATAATTCAGTTCGAATTGTATATAATCATTTAAGTTATTAAATTTATTAATTTTTTATAAAATAATTATTACATATTACTTAAGTAATAATAAATTTAATGATAATTTATAACAATTCGATAAGCTAAATGACTATTGTACGATAACAGTAGTTTGATAAAGATTAATGACCATAATTTTTAAAATTTAAAATTTTATCGATAAGAAATATTATTTTAGTATAACTCAATGAGTATTTGTAATAATTTGATAAAGATCAATAGTAATTTTGAAAAGGAAATGGCAGCCAATCAATTAAAAGCCCAAATAAAAACAATAATAAGTTCCCAAGGTGGCAGTTGCACCGCACTCTCTAGGAAACTGGAAAGAATTAAAAGCAGTATTGAAAGGAAACCAAACAAACAAATGAACATAATAAAAAACAAAAATAAAACTCTGGCTAGCCTTTCAGCTTCTTGCACTATAAGTAAATCTTTCAACGACGCTTCTGCAAGAAGAAAACAAGGGCTTTTCTACCTAAAGACCACCCTAATTTTCTAATATTTCCGACGTAACACATTTTTCCAATATCTCTCAAATTAACACTCATTCGGCTGATATGAAACGAAGGCACAATTTCGAAAACGTGCTTTAACGATATTTTTGTTGACAAGGTAGAAGACGTGTTTTAGGGGACGCCTTTCATGGGTTTCTATTGATTGGGCTGCTACGCGTGTAGATACCTATTTTTGTTCGAGTCTAAAAAACATTTTATCGTGTAATTATTATTTTATTATTATTATTATTATTAATATTTTTTTTAATATTGTAGGCCACATTTTCAACCCACAACAACTCATGTTAAACCCCACTATCTTCATTTGCCAACAATCTTATATGAAAGTTGAACGTTGTGCGCATAGATGGCAATTTGGATTGTTATCTTCTTTCCTCGCGATTCTCGACAGGGTCAATTAAGATTACAGTCTACGTAAAATCTCCTGCACCTATAGAAACTCTCCTGGGCTGACCTCCTATAAATACAATATCATTCATTATAGGGGAACAATAGAGCCTTCCCAAAGAACCCAACAAAGGAGTAATTTGGCACTGGTGCCGCCATGGGTGATTGTCATGTATAACACCACATTCTTCAAGAACTGTGTTAGCCATCCCAACCAGAAGAGGAACGAGTTGGACAAATTCTGCATCGATTGTCTTCAAATCATTTTGCTCTCATTGCCTTTCTTCGCATGCTTTTAACAACCACACCAAGATCCAGAGATACATTTATAGTGGCGTGATCAACAAACAAGATTGGTGCAAGCTCTTCAATTGTTCTGGCATCCAGTCTTTATCTTCAAAGACCCACCAAGGGATTCACAGCAAATGGAGATTGTTTCAAAAGGGTAAGCTCAGAATCTTCAGTTTCATCCAAATCACCCCGTTGAAGAAGATGAAGACGAAGCCCAGGTCGTCGGAGAATCAAAACAAAGAACACAATACGTCGTCTTCGTTGCTGGACTTGCTGGACTTGACCCTCGAATGCATTCTGGACCGCCTTTCGCCCGTCGGTCTGTGCGCCATGGCTGGCGTCTGCTCGTCTTTAAGGGATCGATGTACTGGCGACCATTTATGAGAAGCGGCGGAGAGAGCTAACGCGGAGAACACTTTGAAATGCTTCTTGGTTAACACTGATTACATCTCGTAATGCCAGTACATTCTCGAGAATGCTTTAACTCCTTATGCTTGGTGTTCGCTAGCTCTAGTTTTTTTTTAAAAGTCACTGATCATAGCCTCGCTTTGAATCTTGCCTCGATATCTGGAGTTGTATTTTCAACTATTTGGAGACTGGAGGACCAAAATTACAGCCTTTTGTCACTGCGTCTTTGATTCAATTATTATGCTGAATTCACTTTGAAATCTTTGCCATCAAAGTGGGTTAAATCCATGGGTAAATTGTCATAATTATGTTCTCTAATTTTTTATTATTTTTCTTTTTTATTTATCCTTATTTATCTATCTTATTTTATTATTATTATTATTATATTAATATTTTTTCTATTATTTTTTTTCATATATATATATATATTTTTTTTCTATTATCCAACCAATCAAAGGTAATTATTTCGAATTGAATTTTTAAGTTTTAATTTAAATTTAAACTTAAACTTTCGTAATTAAGACAACTAATAAATTAATTGGTAACGAAAGGGCGGTTCAAGGGTGCTAATCATTCCTTGACTGTAACCGACTCCCGAACTCGACACGTTTCTGGTACAACGCAGATCATGTAAGATGGTGTTCGACCCACCTAAATTTGTTTTAAAGTGGTTGATGGTGACTCTAACCCAATTCATCCAAGTCGAAGCCTAATTCCGGGGCCCAACCGAAAGACGGCTACGACAGCTTGGCGACTTCGCTGGGGACAGGTAAGTGAGTCAGGCCGAAATTAATTTTCGGTTGTCTTTTTATGCGAAAATGGTAAAATTAAATTTAAATTTATTTATTCGATTCCAATTATTTATCTTTGATTATTTTTCAAATAAATAGTTGTACTGACGTTTTTTAATGATTTCATATTTTTTTTCAAAATTGTCATCTCTAAGCTCTAAACCCGAGCTCCGAACCCGTTTTAAGTGGGGTGAAAGCGACACATTCGTGTGAATTTATTCACCGCATATGTCTAGCAAGTAGCCTTCGGGATTCATATACCTTACGTCTTCGTGTGAATTTATTCACCTCACAGACATAAGAGAATGTGTCATCTCGAGTTTAACTTAGTCCACACAAGCTTGTAATGGGCTTAGGACTAAGGGTCTGGCAAGCCCAAGGGGGCACCGACAAGGAGAACTCGAGTACCTTTTTAGAACCTAAACTGGGAGAGTGCAGAGAATTAGAGCCCACCCCAAAACCTCATTCCAAACCCTAGGCTACTTTATTTCCGACTTTATTTTCTGTTCAAAGCATGCGAACTAGACAAATATGCGGTTATGATTTGTTTGAAATTAGCATGCAGGATAGAGATCATGTCTGGGTAGGAATTAAAGCATGTGGGGTAGGACTTTTATTTTTCATGATTATTTTTTATCTTTACCTCACTAACTCTTTTCATTTTTATTTTCTTTTATTTTCATCACTTGCATCATTTCAAAGAGGTGTTGATCCACCAAAAAACGTGTTGGCTAAACATGAATAATCTGTATTAATGGACAAAGGGGTTGTAATACAAGAGATGAAAATGAAGAGGACATTCTACAAGGCGACTATGTGTCACATTCAATCCAGAAGACGTGGTGCCCACAATTGAAGAGTATATCACTTTGTTGCATTATAAAGGACTCAAAATGAACCGGGTCTACATGAAGTACAATGAAAGTCTATCTTTGAAGAATTGACTGCAAAGATTGTAGAGGCAAGACGAGGAAAAGGTTACTGACCCAGACACTCCTTTTTGAAAACTACGAGAACAAGATGTCGAAACCCTAGCTGAGCTAAATGGCATTGCTGACGAATTCAAGAAGCAAGCTTAGAATAGTTTTTATCGATAGAGGGCTCCAATGGTGTTGCCGTTAGGGAGCAGACTCAGCAGAGAGTGGAAGCCGGAGGTGCAGTCATTCGAGACTTCTTGGGCTAGTACAAAAAGCAACTCAATATTTGCATGGTTCATCCAGAGAAGCCAGAGCGGTTCGACAAGTTATTCAACCGATGACAGAAGAAGACAGAATACTAGTCAACATGTCAGAAGCTGTTAGGATATTTTTGTCTCTTAAAAGATAAAACACTTTTGTCCCCAATAAGGATTATTTCTAATAATAGACACATTTTTGGATCAATGCCTCGAACATTGCATGCATCATGCATTCTTGCATATTTCGTATTATTTTTCTCTTTTTTATTACATTCACATGTCTCATAAAAACTGAGAACATTTCGATCCTGTGACATATAAGGAGCTTTACCAACAGTTGTTGACACACAAGTGGTGTCACCATATCCAGAGAAATCCATGAAGCCCCCGTACCCCGGGTAGTATGATGAGAACGCTCATTACGAATATCATAGCGGTGTCCTAGGGCGCACTATCGAAAACTACTCCACATTCAAGAGAATCGTACAGAAAATACATAACAATAATTGGATCGACTTTAATAACTCAGGGGCACCCAAGTGAGGCAGATCATTTCATAATTTGAGGCATTCTGTTTGAGTTTGTTTTTTTTTTTCATTTTTTCTCGAAGTTTTGTAAGGACTTTTAAACAAATTTATGTTACTTTAAAGATGTTAAGCAATGAATCGCATTTACAAACTTGTAATTCTTTGAATATCATCTGACTTAAGAAACTCTGTAAATGGTTCAAAGTTACAGATCTTTGACGAAGTAACATGATTTAAAACAAGGACTTTGACCTTACCCATAATATACACTCAAACACCGTACCATGCTCTTGCAATTAACCAATGTAACATTTTTCTTTCATAAGGTACAGACAACGTGGAGCATCATTTTCATATGACATTACTATGCTTTTTATTTAAGACGTTCAGTGATGATCATGATCTTTACAGATGAAATAGTCGAGTAAGGGAATCTAGTTTGGTCAGTTGCTTGAAAATTGAACTCTAAAGATGGAATTTTTGACTTTCAACAACACTTAGACTATAACAGGTTCTTCTTGACAATCTTAAGAAATTAAATTCGTAAGGCTGAGCTATTCCACTAAGGCAATTGGTTATAGAGGAAACTTGAAAGCCTTGGCCTTATGAGTAGATTACGTTCAAACCATGACATTGCTCGAACACTTGGCAATTCGGTGTTTGCTCCACTGCTTTTGTCAGGCCGAAGACATTGTGATGAGATGAACCCTTCAATTAAACCTAATAAAAGTGATTGTAATGTTAAGTTGTCCCTCTAAAGCAATTGGTTAAACGTCCCGGCTTTATGGATTCAGCTAGTCAGATAACGGTACTCAAATTTATCTAAGCATGAAGTTTCGGTAAAATAGACTAAGGGAGTTAAGGAACACCTGTTATAGTCAATTTCACACGAGCACTCAAGAATTTTTTAGACGATATTTCTGCACTCCCTTTGTCAGAGGAGCTTACAAAACTTGAACAAATGGAAGATTTCAGAAGACCGAAATAAAAGGTCTAGTAATTGATCATGCTAGTTGCGTCATTTTGTTCGCACCCAATTAAAATGCCAAACTAAAAAGCATGTGGCGATATTTCAAAAAATGACATTTTGGGTGATCGAAACCTAATAAAGGAGGCCAACCTGAAGCCAACTCATCCATTTGAACATTTGTCAAAGAGCTGTAACTCTTAAAGCATTAAAAGAGCTATTGATTCCTTGAATATTCTTTGAACTCATGTTTATAATTTGATTCAATTATGAACAATATTTTACAGAATTTTGTTTTTTTTCCTCCTAAAACAAGAAAAAGGGAAAACATTTTCAAATAGAACAATCTTAGATATGAGAGGTCTGTAAATCCAAAGCTCGGAAAAGAGAATGGGGCACGATCGATTCCAGGGACCAGATTGGCAGACAAAACACGGGAATCAAGTCCAAGAGATAAAACATAATTCATTCATGTTGCATGTATCTTAGACATACTTAGGTGCATCACATTCATCATTTTAGCATTCAAGATTTTTGTAGCTTTCAGAGTCAAGTTTCGACTTCAGGATGAAGGATACTCGATTCGCAAGTGCCTTTAAATAACGATGGTGGTTGCTTAACTCAGCAGTGCGAAGCTACACCTCAACCGACTTGACATATCTACAGATCTCAGAACCAATTCAGATCAAATCCATCTCAACTCAAATTCAACCATGAGCAGCATGTTTCCAGTTAACACTTTCAAGCCAGATTTCAATTCCACGACAGATGATATCCGGATGACAAAATTTGGCGAAAGGAGCCATATACAATTCCAACTTCGCAAACAGATTGACCCACCTTCACGACGAATGAGTCATCTGTAACACCACAACACCAAAGTCTTCAAGTCAAGTTTCACCTTCACGACGAAGTATCTTGAGCCAGAAGACGATTCAGAGGCCTCCCGCGGTTTCAACTTCACGACGAAGGGAATCGTGTCCACCCGCAACATACAATACTTGGATTTCAACTTCACAATGAAGGATATTCAAGTTAAGGCTCAACTTCACGACGAAGGGGCCATCCACGATTTCAACTCCACGACAGAGGATATCATACCCACACATCCACGATTTCAACTCCACGATGGAGGATATCGTGCCATTTGAGGCTCAACTTCATGATGAAGGGGCCTCCCAATTTCAGAGCCAATTTCAACTTCACAGCGAAGGATATTGGACTCGAGACAACACAATCTCAACTTCACAGCGAAGGGGTGACTGGTTGTCAACAAACAATCTCCCAATTTCAGAGCCAATTTCAACTTCACAGCGAAGGTTATTGGACTCGAGACAACACAAGCTCAACTTCACAGCGAAGGGGCGGCTGGTTGTCATTAAACAATTTCCTAATTTCAGAGCCAATCTCAACTTCACAGCGAAGGATATTGGACTCGAGACAACACAAGCTCAACTTCACAGCGAAGGGGCGACTGGTTGTCAACAAATAATCTCCCAATTTCAGAGCCAATTTCAACTTCACAGCGAAAGATATTGGACTCGAGACAACACAAGTTCAACTTCATAGCGAAGGGATGGCTGGTTGTCAACAAACAATTTCCCAGTTCCAGAGCCAATTTCAACTTCACGGCGGAGGATGTTGGACTCGGAACAATACAACTTACTTGGATTTCAACTTCACAATGAAGGATATCCAATTTCAGGCTCAACTTCACGACGGAGAGGCCACCCGCGGTTTCAACTTCAGGACGAAGGGAATCGTGTCCACAAGCAGCATCCATCTCAATATTGGATTTCAACTTCACGGCGGAGGATATCCAACTCAGAGAAAGAGTGTATGTCAACAAACTTTCCAATTTCGAAGGCAATTTCAACTTCACAGTGAAGGATATTGGCCTCGAAACAACACATTGGATTTCAACTTCACGACGAAAGATATCCAATTCCAAGGCTCAACTTCACAACGAAGGGGTCATCTACGACTTCGACTTCACGAAGAACGATATCGTACCCAATGGATTGACTTAGTGTCACAACAAACACTATCAAGTCTCAAGAGAACCAGGCAAAAACTTGTTGTCTTTTTCATCTTTGCCCTATTCTTGTTAACACAAAAATGTGCAAAGAGGGGCAGCTGTAGACACCCGTTTTTATCCGGGTCTAAAAAACATTTTATCGTATAATTATTTTTATTATTATTATTGTTAATATTGTTTTTAATTTTGTAGGCCACATTTTCAACCCACAACAACCCATGTTAAACCCCACTATCTCCATTTTCCAACAACTTTATATAAAAGTTGAGCGTTGTGCGCACAGAGGGTAGTTTGGGTTGTTATCTTCTTTTCCCGCGATTCTCGACAGGGTCAGTTAAGATTGCAGTCTGCGTTAAATCTCTTCACCTATAGAAACTCTCCTGGTGTGACCACCTATAAATACCATATCATTCATTATAGGGGAACAATAGAGCCTTCCCAAAGAACCCAACAAAGGAGTAATTTGGCACTGGTGCCGCCATGGGTGATTGTCATGTATAACACCACATTCTTCAAGAACTGTGTTAGCCATCTCAACCAGAAGAGGAACGAGTTGGACAAATTCTGTATCGATTGTCTTCAAATCTTTTTGCTCTCATTGCCTTTCTTCGCATGCTTTTAACAACCACACCAAGATCCAGAGATACATTTATAGTGGCGTGATCAACAAACAAGATTGGTGCAAGCTCTTCAATTGTTCTGGCATCCAGTCTTTATCTTCAAAGACCCACCAAGGGATTCACAGCAAATGGAGATTGTTTCAAAAGGGTAAGCTCAGAATCTTCAGTTTCATCCAAATCACCCCGTTGAAGAAGATGAAGACGAAGCCCAGGTCGTCGGAGAATCAAAACGAAGAACACAATACGTCGTCTTCGTCGTCTTCGTTGATGGACTTGCTGAAGTTGACCCTCGAATGCATTCTGGACCGCCTTTCGTCCGTCGGTCTGTGCGCCATGGCTGGCGTCTGCTCGTCTTTAAGGGATCGATGTACTGGCGACCATTTATGAGAAGCGGCGGAGAGAGCTCACGCGGAGAACACTTTGAAATGCTTCTCGGTTAACATTGATTACATCTCGTAATGCCAGTACATTCTCGAGAATGCTTTAACTCCTTATGCTTGGTGTTCGCTAGCTCTAGTTTTTTTTAAAAGTCACTGATCATAGCCTCGCTTTGAATCTTGCCTCGATATCTGGAGTTGTATTTTCAACTATTTGGAGACTGGAGGACCAAAATTACAGACTTTTGTCACTGCGTCTTTGATTCAATTATTATGCTGAATTCACTTTGAAATCTTTGCCATCAAAGTGGGTTAAATCCTTGGGTAAATTGTTATAATTATGTTCTTTAATTTTTTATTATTTTTCTTTTTTATTTAACCTTATTTATCTATCTTATTTTATTATTATTATTATATTAATATTTTTCTATTATTTTTTTCATATATATATATATATATTTTTTTTTTCTATTATCCAACCAATCAAAGGTAATTATTTCGAATTGAATTTTTAAGTTTTAATTTAAATTTAAACTTTCGCAATTAAGACAACTGACAAATTAATTGGTACCGAAAGGGCGGTTCAAGGGTGCTAATCCTTCCTTGACCGTAATCGACTCCCGAACCCGACACGTTTCTGGTACGCAGATCAGGTAAGATGGTGTCTGACCCACCTAAATTTGTTTTAAAGTGGTCGGTGGCGACTCTAACCCAATTCATTCAAGTCGAAGCCCAACTCCGGGGCCCAACCGAAAGACAGCTACGACAACGCGGGAGAAGGCGCTTTGCAGGAGGCGCCTTTGCGGGATTCTGATGCCACGTCTAAAAGAGTGCTCCTTCCATTAATAGGGTAATTAATTTCCACCTGTTTTCTCACCTAAACCCCCCCTCATCACCTATATAAACACCTTAACCCTCATTATTCTTCACATTAAACCATTCTTTCTCTTTATTATAGCTCAAATCACTCTCTTATTTGAGTTACAAATTTCTTAATAGTTGGTGAAAAATTTATTTTTAAATTAATATATTTTATTTAAAAAGTTATTATATTTTTTATAAATAATTATTTAAAAATAATGTTATGTTTTTTATTAAAATAATATTTATATAATTATTATATATTTAAATTTATTAATTAATTATTTGTTCTAATTAGAGATGCTGCTGCGATTGGATGCAAATCATATCTCAATACATTTTAGTGATATAGTAATATTTTTTTGAAATTTATGTAAATGTTTAATATTTTTTTAATTTAAAGTTTTCATGAATTTATATTAATTTTAAATTTTTGGAATATTTATTAATTAGAAAAATGATCGTATTTTGGAAACATTTATTCGAAACACGAAGATACTGACACCAACACGTATTTGGCAGTATCTGTCTACAGCCGGGTTCGGGTATATTGCGAAAGTTGTCGGCGGTTGTAAAATCGAACCCACCCTAATTTCCGCATTAATTGAGAGGTGGAGACCGGAGACACACACATTTCATTTTCTATGTGGAAAGTGCACAATTACACTAGAGGATGTCTCAATGCATTTGAGGCTCTCTGTTGATGGAAATGTTATGTGTGGTGTGGCCGATGGTAATTGAAATTCACTATGCATGGAGTATTTTGGAGCTTCTCCGCCAGATTTCAATGGAGGTTGGATATCTTTATCATGTCTAAAAACCAATTTTGAAGATTTGAATGAAAATGCTTATGATGATGAAGCAAAAGCGTTTCCTCCACATCAGCAAATCCCGCGAAGGCACCCCCGAAAACGCGCTTCGCTCCACATCAGCCAAATGGGTGCTAATTTGGAAAATATTGGGAAAAGGGTGTTAAAACGGGAATATTAGATATTTAGGTACAAAAAGCTTAAATATTACCCTAAATATTTAATATTCCAATTTTAACACCCCTTTTCCAATATTTTCCAAACTAGCACTCATTCGGCTGATGTGGATCGAAGGCGCGTTTTCGGGGGGGGCGCCTTTGCTGGATTTGCCTTTGCTTCATCTTCAGAAGCATTTTTATTCAAATATTCAAAAATTTCTTTTAGCCATGATAAAGGTATCCAACCTCCATTAAAATCTGGCAGAGAAGCTTTAATATACTATATGCATAGTGAATGTTAATCACCGTCGGCCACACCACACGTAATGTAACACCCTCAACCCGTATCCGACCCGGATACAAGTCTGAGGTGTCACATTGACTTTTCAAACTTTAACTTTTTTACGAAAACCAAGGAAATTTAAAACTTTTATTAAAATAACATTGTTACTGTACACGAGTTAACCAAAACAAGACAAAACTGATCAGAGCATTTGTAACTAACACTTTTCTTACATGCCAACACACTATACACCATCAAAATGCATACTTTAACAGTTACTTCTGATCTGATCTTCTAGCAGTGCTACTGTTCTTGCCACTCCTATTTCTGTTCTTCCTGATTCTTGATACTTACGTGTAAATCACTTACACGTTAAGTCACAGACTTAGTGAGTCAATAAACATATAATGTAACTTTAACTAATAATTATACATAAACAATTACTACCATCATTTCACACAACTCATATATTTTTACATGTAACAAGTACATACATACATATATATATGTCATTATCATTCATATCTCTTATCTCCTATTCCTATCATATATCATATATCTTATAGATTTGTTATTATCTCATTATGTCAATCAATTATACTAATTCACATATACCTTAACATGCACTCACGTATACCATACAACATATATATATATCATGTCATGTAAAACATATATCCTATCGTAAATCAAATACACACAAGCAACTATATCATCATCTTCATTCTTATCACTATTATTGATTCCTTTTATCATATAATCTTATAATTACCATTTGTACCGTCATATATCACACATAACATTTCACAAGGAAATAACATATCATCATATCCAGTTTATTAATATTATCTTTTTATTAGCCCATAGTACACCGGTGAGAACTGTAGATACGTGAGTCTATTGAGGTTGTGCACCACTATGATGTCACCACAGCTCGTATAAATGTCCCGAAGGACCTATCCAGAGGTCATAGAGATCCTCGGTAACTATCCAGAGGTCATAAAGATCCTCGGTAACTGTCCATAGGTCCCGAAGAACCTAGGTAAGCTGTCCATATATTCCTTAGAACATAGGTAAACCCTCGACTCTTGGCATGCCAACTATTCCTCTAGCTCTCAATTCATATAATATGAGCATTTTCACTTATACACTTTCATTGCTCTTATGATCACATATTACTTTTCTTCTGTCACATATCACATATGCATATAGTCACATAGTTTACTTTCCTGTAATTCATGTCACTTTTCATATAAACATATGATTCATTTTCACGTATCACATATACTTTCTTTTTCATATAACTCATGTCTTATGATCAGGTAAACACGTATCACATAAAATAACATGTCAAATCTATCACACCACTGATATAATATTCTCATATATTCATGTAGTTCAATTTCACATATCATATGAATCATATAAATCATGTTATATATACTCATGCATACATAGAATTCACAAATCAAATAATAATTTACGAGTTACTTTTTACCATAGTAACTCCGTCACTGGCTCATCGCAAGCTAATGCTTATTCTATAACATAAGTACAATGAAATTGCACTCACCTTAGCCTTGCTTGCTTTGATTTGATTCTAATTCTTCAATTGTTCCAGAGCAAGCTTTCATTATATATCTACATAATAATAACACATTGATACATATCAATATACTAATTGATATATTCTAAGCTATCACTTCATAGGGTAGAAGAAAGCCATTTTCATCTTTTAATGGAGGCATGCATCAATGCACTACACCATGTATCGATACATCCCTTGACAGGTGCATCGATGCACTATCCATGCATCGGTGCATAAATCCTATTCGATGTTTGTATTTTAAGCAGGTGCATCGATGCACTAATTGCATTCGATGTTTATTTATTTGAGAGTGCATCGATGCACATTGAAGATGTATCGATGCACACAACCCATAAATGATACTTTGAGTACGAAAATCCCTTCTTTATTCTCTCAACTCTTCATATTTCATCCCTTTTTCTATTATGAATTCTTATACACCTATTTAAACTAATCTATACTCATTTATTTCAACTTAAACCCCAAAATCCTATCATCCTTATGAGATTCAAGAATTATATCAACTTTGCAACATAATTTAATTCCACTTTTAACACTTCATATGTCTTAACTAGATTGATGACAAGTCAAATCCAACTTCCAATTCTAATTATCAACTCTATATCAAAATTTCATTCAAGAACTCAAAATCTTTAATCTTCCCTAACTCTTTTATCTTTTGATTTTAAGATAACTTAAGCTTTCCTTAAGCTTAGTTATCATCTAACGGTCAAAACCCAAACTTTAAATTAACAAATAATCAATAGATCAGAAATCTTACCTTTGCTTGGCTCTCTTTCATGTATAAAGAAGAAGAAGAAGAAATAAGAAATCTCTGGAGAAATCTTTCCTTCCCACGTGTATATATCCTTACCATATTCCATTTTTAATTCATTTCTTGGTCAAATGACCCTTTTTTCCCTTTAATACCTTTTATAATTACTAGTATCTTTAAGGTAATATTTCTAAATAAATAGTTGAACTTTTCTACTATTTCATTTTAATCACCAAATCCTGAAATATTACAATTTGGTCACTAACCCGGTATTAAGGATGTTACACGTAATATTTCCATCAACAGGAATCCCCAAATGCATTGAGACATCCTCTAGTGTAATTGTGCACTATCCACATGGAAGATGAAATGTGTGCGTCTCCGGTCTCCGGTCTCCACCTCTCTATTAATGCGGAAACTAGAGTGGGCTTGATTTTGCAACTGCCAATAACTTTCGCAATATACCCAAACTCGGCTGTAGACAGATACTGCCAAATACGTGTTAGTGTCGGTATCTTCGTGTTTCAAATAAATGTTTCCAAAATACGATTATTTTTCTAATTAATAAACATTCCAAAAATTTAAAATT